GCATGGGGGTTGCTCTCTTTGGGGCATCAGTTCGTAGGGTTTCAGATTTGTTTATTTACTTTAACAACCCTTCATCTGTGGCTCTTCACATTGGGGATGGTCCTCGTGCCTGAAAGTATTTCTATTGTTTGTCCTTTTAGTTGACAGTGTAACTAAATATTATCTCGTTAGTTTTCTTGTCTTGTTGTATATCATCTTTTAGCCATCTTTGATGCCAACTCTATGTGTCATTCGTCAGCTTTGTTGTAAAAGAACGTAACTTAATATATTTGTTTCTTTCAAGAGATTCAAGTCATAAAATCTTTATAATGTGATAAAAATTAAGAAGAACTTTGTGAAAGGAATAAATGCGAACTTTACTAATAAATAAAGAAGAAATTACAGTCCTCTTTTGTTCCTTGTCTTCAGCTTTAGAACTTCTCAGCATTTGCAACATCTGCAATACTGTCGCATATTTTATGGACCTTACAAAGTCCCAAGTCCCATTTCTACTATCGACCATTTGAATTCCCCGAGGCGAAAAGTCAACCCATTCATTGCTCCATTTCCCCGTCTTTTCCATTCGCTTTCCACCGAAAAGATTGCCAATCCTAATTAGCCCAAATTGGTCTGGTTCTGTGAATGGAAACGTGGAAACGGGAATGGAGCCCCGACTATGGACAACAAATAAGCACACAGTTCGGCATCGAACAAAAGCGCTGTGCTCGTGTTTTGTTCTTAGAAAAACAGCGTTACATCCTTGTAAGTGATATAGCAGAGTCAATAGGAATCGGCAAACGTCAAACAATGTACGACAATTGTCAAACCATATCGTCAACATAATCTCATTGTTTAACCAGAACGGTGAAAAGCGAGGGAATGGCGTTGGAGCTGGAGCTCAGGCAGGTCGAAAAGGCACCTTATCAACATGGGGCGGCGATGTCAAACGATGGATGCCAAACTTGTGTGGCGGTACACCCCCCTTCACCAACCCCTCTCATTTTGCAAAGGGCTCCAAATAAATAAAGAAAAAAATACAACAACAGCAAAACTAGCTGCCAGGGCAAACAAAAACTCCACATTGCATCGATGCGTTCAAGCGGGCAAACATTGACAAGCAACTTCTTGGGAATTGGTCTTTTGTTTGACTGACTTCGATCGACGGGTCGTATGATCAATCAGCCAGTCGGATAGCATAGCGCACCATTCATAGTTCCACTAGCCGGATTGTTTGTTTGTGCTCAACTCGAAAACGGCATGCAGTCTGGTCGAGTGTTTGCCAAACCGCAGCGGTCGCGGCTCTTTGAAGTTCGGCACTGGGAGAAATATGTTAATTTCGTTTCGATATTTAGCAACCAAAGTTATTTCTCTGCATATTTACTCCTTAAATAAAACCCTCGAACAAATTGACCCAATTTTGGTAAGAGTTTTTGCCAATTTGCCAGCAATTGACAAGAATAGAATGAGAGAACAATTCCTTCAAAAGAACCACACCGCCCCGATAGAAATCAGCGATCGATCTGTACGATCAACAACTAGATAACGCCTTGTTTCGGGGGTTGTGAAACACGACTTAATTACCAGAGATCGATGCGCGTGTGCCTTTGATCTCCCCATACGGAACCCTAAACATTTGGCGATATTTTTGGGTGCAATTGTGTCGAATAGTCATACATTCATACAAGAACCCCAAGAGCAAGCGAGCAATCTACCCAACGGCACTTCAAAGTGTTTCATTTTATGCCGAAAATAGCAAACAAATTAATGGAATATCTCCGTATCTCTTTCTCACCCATTTCTATGCAGATTCTGGCAGCGAATCGGGCTCACACAAAAGTATTAGGGAAAAGCGACCCTCAGGGCCCTCGGATGGCAAGCCAACGCGAGTTCGGACCGTGCTCAATGAGAAACAGCTGCATACGCTCAGGTGAGTAATCTCTTCTATAAGATACTTTTACTTAAATTACAATAATACGAAAAGTGTGGAGTTTAATAATCAAATTTGTTATCCCCTTTAGAACCTGCTACAATGCTAATCCGCGACCTGATGCGCTCATGAAGGAGCAGCTGGTGGAGATGACAAGTCTTTCCCCTAGAGTTATCCGCGTCTGGTTCCAGAACAAGCGTTGCAAGGACAAGAAGAAGACTATTCAGATGAAGTTGCAAATGCAGCAGGAGAAGGTAACTACATCTTTCTACAATATGAACTTAAAATTATAATTTCAATTTGGTTTTCCCAGGAGGGTCGCAAGTTGGGCTATGGCGCCATGCAGGGCATCCCGATGATAGCCAGTTCCCCGGTTCGACATGACTCCCCTCTAAATCTTCAGGGTCTGGATGTGCAGACATATCAACCGCCGTGGAAAGCCTTAAGCGACTTCGCCCTTCACGCCGATCTCGACAGCAATGGAGCGATCAATACCCACACGCCCGCATTTCAACAGTTGGTCAATCAGGTAAGGATCTTTGATTTATTAATCGTGCTTATTATTTGAGAGAATGACTAGCGTATGGAACTCTACTTTAAAAAAATCATAATCACGAACATGTTTAGTTTGTTTTTAATGCAATTCAAAACACCAAACTAGATTTCATAATGTTTACTATGGCTTTTTGTATGCCAATATTTTACACAATTGAAAACTGGTTATGATTCATTAAAAATACGTGACGGATAAAATTATTGAAAATAAGCTCAGAATAATATATCAATGAGTTGGTGATGCGATGATGAATGGATAATAAATGAGTTGTTGAGCTGTTATCACTGCGATGACTTTGAATATGTTTTATTTTAACTTTAAAAACTGACTGGTTAGGTTTCAATGGAGGCTTATTAACGTGGATATAATATAAGATAAAATTGTAACCCTTTCTAAAACATGGCTCTCCTCTTCCCCTTCCAGATGCATGGCTATGACCTGAACGGGATGCCAATCCTGCCGCCGCATCCGCACTCGCACCCGGCGCAAGGACCTCCCCACCAACACCCACCGCCTCCTGGCGGTCCGCACAATCACCAAAACCAGCAGCCGAACCAACAGCCCGGAGGCAGCAGCCTGGATTCCGGGATCACCTCACACCACCATCCGGACAGCACCGACTCCTATGTCACCTACCTGGAGAGCGATGACAGTATGCAGGGCAGTCCGTAGACAATCGAACCGAATCTAATCCAGCTTCTTTTGTTGCTCCCAGAATCCAAACTGGCGCTGACCCCGTCGTCCTCATCCTCGGCCTCGGCGGCCACATCGATCTCCTCGCCGCCATCGGGTGTTGGAGCAGGGGCTGGTGGTTCAGTGGGTGGTGGTGCAGGTGTGCTGGGCTTGGGCGTGGGAGTGGTGGCCAATCAGTCGGCCACCGAACAGCTCATGCAAATGCTCCAAAAAGTAACCGGGTCAGCTTCCCCAGCCTCGCATGCGGTTCTATAAAAAGGAGCAGGCGAGTAAGGGGGCGTGGCAGGAAGCTTAAACCAGAGGAGCTACAGTCGAACTTCACTACTTGAAAATTTGTACAATAAAGAAACAACTTACTTTAACACCTTAACTTCAGAAAAATGGCTAATCATTTTTTTCCAATCCTGATTAAAAAAATTTACCATTAACTCATTTTGAACACCAATAGCTTGCTGCCAACTAAAAATGTTGTTAAATTTAACATATTTTGTAATCATTTTAGGCTTTTGTAAAAAGAGCATTTATTGCTTTCACATGCAAATTGTTTTTAAATTTAACACCATGTTTTAGTCCGCCAACAAATTGTTTTTTTCTCCCATCAAATTAGCCAGTTAGCGAAGTTCGACTGTATTTGGGGTTGTGCAATTGTTTTGCCCGTATTTTTTATAATCAACTCATTTGTATTCTGTAAATTTAATTTTATTCTGTTTGATTCGGTGCCAAAAAATAGTCTGTAGGCCTTTGGCATTTTGGGGATAATCTGGCTCTGGCTCGTTATGTAACATACACTTTTGTTGTTGAGTTCAAAAAAAAAAAAATAAAAAAAACCACGAAAAAATGAAATTAAAGTAAGCTAAACAAAAATGCTCACACACTTGAAAAGTTTTTACAATAATTTCTGACACGAATACAAGAATTATGATAACGAAAGGAAAACAGTTACTTCGCATCAAGTAGGGAATTTCATTAAACATTAAACATAAATTTGTAAATAACTTTTATAAATAAATAATAAACGAATATATTTTCATTCAAAATGCAAAAAAAAAGAAGCGACCATAAGCATTCAAAAAAAAAAAAAGAGAATCTGACTCGTGTGTATTATATGGGATGTAAAATCCGAGGGGCAGCGATAAACACTAAAGGCGCACTTGGCAAACTTGTAAATCGAATTAGAAATGCAACAAAAGCATCTACGTCTAAGTTCGTAAATTGTATGGCAAATGAAACACAAAATTATTATAAATAAATAAATGCGAGAATTGAAGTGGGGGGAACTTTATTTAAGTGAGAAACAAAAACTGTAACTAAATCTAGACTTATTTGTTAGTTTTAAAACATTTCCGGAATGCATTATAAGAGGAGGGAAAAGAAATCCGGCAGCGGGATGGCTGAGGAGTGAAAGCGAAATGTACCAAGGATGTTTATAAACTGTTTCGTAAAACAACTAATGTATTTTCAATAATATTTAACTAATATTAATAATAAACAGTGCATAAGTAATTTTAGTAACTATAGAAAATGTTTAAATGAAATTACAAACGAAAATAAAACAACAAAAAAACAACCACACAAAATAATATTAAAAAATGGTGTATCATTTGGAAAAGGAAATATGTCGTAAAGTAATTACACATTTTGATTTTAAATTTGCCGCCAAAAAATCGGAATTTTTTCATTCGTATGAAATGAACTGCTTGACATAAGTAATGAACTGCTTGCCTATATGGCTAATTCCAATTGGAATTGGTAACTGCATGTATATAGGTTTCGACCTTCGCTATTCGATGGGATGGTTTATTTTAGCCAATGTTTGAACGTTTATTAGAAAGGTATTTTTAAAAATCAATAGCTGGTCACACTGGCGCCCAGCTGCGAACTTATTTATTTTATTTGAAGTAAATTTTTCAATTAAAAATCAACCAAAATGTCTATTGCCAAACGTGTGCAGGTACGTGTTTTTTCTTTCTAGAATCTGCAAAAGTTATTTAATATTTGCGTTCTTTATTTTAGCAATGGGCAACGTTTGCACGCACCTGGCACATCTACGATTGCACTTGGCAGAATCCATTCGAGTCCGCCAAATTGGTTAAAACCCATTTAATGGGCCTGCAAAAGCCTATATATCATCCCATGAGTAAGTATTATCAATCGGGCTAGTTCTTTCTTAATTCCAAGTGCGGAAATTATGTACAAATCGCGGTTTTTTGGATGTGTTTCGTTACATCACCGGCGTGTTTTCTTAGTTGTTGTTGTTGTTGCTGCTGCTGCCTGTAAAAATGAAAACAAACGATTCAAATTTAAAATGGTAATTATTTGATCATTCCGTTTGCGATTAAAATAGTTAAGGGAATTGAATCTTGGTGCCTTCCTATTTTAAACGTAACTGACTTACCATTTCGTTGTGATATAACTTTTTGACCGGCAATTATTGTACTTTTAGGTTAAGCAAGTTATCCACAAAGGTGATTAAAAATAAAACCCGAAAATATAATTTTCCAGATGACTGCGGTGACCATGTTGTACTGATCAATACGAGAGAAATTGCTCTTCCGGGAGACGAGTGGGTGAAAAGGGTGTATTTCCATCACACAGGATATCCTGGGGGAGCTTCGTGGACCCTGGCGTGGCAACTACACGAAAAGGATCCAACGATGGTGATGAAAAAAGCTGTCTATAACGCAATGCACGGAAATCTGCAACGCAGACACACCATGCAGAGATTGCATTTATTCGCTGACGATCAAGTCCCCGAGGAAATCCTACAGAATGTCACGAATCAAATCCGCACACCGCGCACAGTTCCCCAGCGTTTGGATCACATCGACAAGGAAACGCTGGAGAATTTCCCCAGCATTATGGATTTTCCCAAGGATTACATATTGCGTTGATTTATTGTTTAAAAATCATTGTAATTAAGACAAATACAAAATATACAAAAAATGTTTGTTTATTTATATTGTGAAATATTAATAAAAATATTTGATTATAATACTTTTTATACGCGGTATCAACAATCCGACATCAATAAGCTTGTATAGCTAACTTTTTTGGCTTGGCAATGCTTCGCGAAAAGGGATGCCAGGTTGTTAAATGTCAAGATAATTTGTAAGCGCCGTATTATTTAAAATTACATCAAATTCAAAAAAAAAAGTTAATAAGCAATATTTAATAAATTTTAATAGTTGATTTGCACAAAGTACCTTGCAAAATTTTCTTATAAATTCTTCATATTATTGTTTTTAAGTTTTGGGACTCTTGACAACCCTTTTACTTACCGGCTGTGTGGCAGTGAATTGCAATTTATTCATCTCATTTGTGTTTGCATCATTTTGTATCCATCTTGGGCGACTACGCCTACAATTTGACAAATAAAATATACCATATAGAAAGTGCGGTCATCACTAAGTAAAATTATCTTAACCCACTAAGCTCTGGTACAATTTAACTATAGCTTTTAGCTTATCTGATGTTAGTTTTTATGGTTTAACGATAAGCATTATCGCAAAAAGTAAAGTATTTAAACATATTTTTGTGTTTCTCTTTTAGTCTTCAAACGCGGCCTGTGCACTTCACACAAACTACTCCCGATTTACCAGATACAGAGACGCAATATGGGACGCTTGGGAAACGTAGATCCTAGCTCTTATTCGCAGCCAGATTTAATCACAACAGAGCACAGTGCTCTCAACTGGACGGTTGATTTCGAGTCCACCAAAATCCAAGGAAGTGTGCTCCACCGCTTCAAAGTTTTAACTTCAAATCTTGATAAGATTGTAAGTAATTGGGGATCTTAATATTAAAATTAAAATTAAAAAGGGCTTAGAGAAATTTGGCATTGATATAAATACAACCTTTAACATAAAGTTTATTATTTTTAGCTCCTGGATGTACGTGATATTAATGTAACCAACGCCACGTTGCTGGCCGGAGGCAGTGAACTGCCGATTAACTACTTCATCAGCGATGCCGTCGATGATATTGGCCAGAAGCTAACTCTCGAGTTGCCATCTGGAACGGCTAAGGGCAGGTAAAACCACAAAGATAATCTAATCTATATGGAACTCGTAAATAATCTGATACACTTTACTTCTTTTCTAGCCTCAATGTTCGCATTGATTACGAGACGTCGAGTAGCGCCAGTGGACTGCAGTGGTTGAACCCCACCCAGACTTTGGGCAAGGAGCATCCCTATATGTTCTCTCAATGCCAGGCGATCCATGCTCGCTCAGTGATTCCTTGCCAGGATACTCCAGCTGTTAAATTTACCTATGATGCTACTGTGGAGCATCCCAGTGAGCTTACGGCTTTGATGAGCGCTCTTATTGATAAGAAGGAACCTGGAAGAACACAATTCAAGCAAGAGATTCCCATTCCTGCCTATTTAGTGGCTATTGCCATTGGAAAATTAGTTTCCCGCCCGCTAGGAGAAAATTCGAATGTCTGGGCAGAAGAAGCAATTGTGGATGCCTGTGCCGAGGAATTTTCGGAAACTGCTACTATGTTGAAAACTGCCTCGGAATTGTGCGGTCCTTATGTCTGGAAGCAGTACGATTTGCTGGTTATGCCTCCATCATTTCCATTCGGTGGCATGGAAAATCCATGCTTGACTTTCGTAACCCCAACTCTTTTGGCCGGGGATAAGTCCCTGGCTGACGTTGTAGCTCACGAGATTGCCCACAGTTGGACTGGTAATCTGGTGACCAACAAGAACTTTGAGCATTTCTGGTTGAACGAGGGCTTTACGGTGTTTGTTGAGTCGAAAATCGTGGGAAGAATGCAGGGCGCCAAAGAGCTGGACTTTAAGATGCTCAGCAATCTCACTGATCTGCAGGAGTGTATGCGCACTCAACTCGACAAGACACCCGAGCTGACCAAGCTGGTGGTGGATCTATCGAACTGTGGACCTGATGATGCTTTCTCCTCAGTGCCTTACATCAAGGGTTCTACCTTCCTGCGTTATTTGGAGGATTTGTTCGGAGGCCCCACTGTTTTTGAGCCATTCCTCAGGGATTACCTTAAGAAATTTGCCTACAAATCGATTGAGACAAATGATTTCAAGAGTGCTCTTTATGACTATTTCATCGATACCGACAAGAAGGATAAACTGAGTGTTGTCGATTGGGATTTGTGGCTGAGTACTGAGGGCATGCCACCAATTATCCCCAAGTAAATTTTACTGCTCAGAATATTTAACATATTTATGTTTATAAATATTTTTTCGTTTTAATTTAGATTTGATGAGTCCCTGGCCAATGTGACCAAGGAATTGGCCAGTCTGTGGAGCGCCAAGAGCGTCGCTGAATTGACCGACGGTGTTGAAATCAAGAAAAACATTTCCATTCACCAACTTATTGATTTTCTGGGTAAACTGATCGAAAGCAAAGATATTGCTGACCTGACCGAGCGCAAGATCGACCTTCTGGAGTCCACATACAATTTGAAGAGTTCCAAAAACGCCGAGGTTCGTTTCCGTCTCAACCGTTTGATTATTCGTGCCCGTTTGATTAAGCGTCTGGATGAGATTCTCGAATTCGCCAACTCAAATTTCCGCATGAAGTTCTGTCGCCCAATCTATCGTGACCTGGCAGGTTGGCCCGAGGCTAAGCCCGCAGCTGTTCGTAACTTTGCCAGCGTCAAGGATCAAATGATGGCCGTGTGCTCGCACACAATTGAAAAGGATCTGGGATTGAAATAAATTTAAGTCTGATATTTGCATTTTTTAAAGATTTAAATGAAACAATAAACTTGTTGCAATAATATGAAGGATTCGATCAGATAATCAGATTGTCAGGAAATATAGAGTAGCTAAAATTCCATATAAATGTAAACTAGTTTCGAAAGTTCATTTTGTTTCGTTTTCTTGAATTATTTGTTTTTATTAAAAAATAAGCAAAACTACGTTTATAACAAGTTGATTTCCATTTCCATGCTCTTTGTAATTTCTAATCTTCAATTTTGCTTGCAATTTTCGCGTTACCTTGATACCGTATTATTACCAATTTAAATTTTATTTTTTATAGTTATAGCTCAACATTGACCAATTTCAAAGGTTTTTGGTGTTCGTATAACTAATTAAATGGGCGTCGATCAGGTTGATCTTCGTTTCAAATTTCTTGTTGTTTAAATTCTTTAAATTTCTCTCTCGGCTTGTAGTACACATACACACACAATATATTAAATTTATTATTGTTTGCTTTGCTCGGCTGCTTAAATATTTTCTCTGTTGGTGTCTCAACTTCTAATCCCGACGAGTTTCGCTTGTGGTTTTTAAACTAATTAACAATTTTGTTTTTTTTTATTTTGTTCATTTCTTACATTGACCAAAATGCTTCAACATGCTTCCAATTAATATTCGCCAATTTATAGCTGAGAGATCTCAGTAATTATTCCCTTTCCTCGGTCGCCTGGTCGATTTCTCTTCGCTGTCCATCATGTGGCTGAGGAATTAAAAACTATCACGCACTAGAATTATCATTGGAACGGGACGTGGATGGACCGGCACCCTGATCATCGCCCAGCACGAAAGTGGGACTCTGGCGGGATGTGTGGTAGTGGTAGCCCTCTCTATAGCGCTGATTGGGTTTCGACCGTGCGGTTTGTGTGTGACCCAATGCTGGACGCTGATTGTTGAGCTCATTGGGTCGTTTGGCTGAAAGCGTTTTAATATTATTTATTGTATAAGGTTTATCCAAAAACTGCTTTGTCTTACCAGGTATATAAGGCTTTTGATTATAGGACGATTGTTGTTGTTGGTTATATAGATCCGATGATGTTGCATTGCCATTATGATGATATGGCGTCGCCTGTAGATCGGTACTACAATTAATCGGACTCATCGGCGTCATCTCGCGATCCTCGATAAACAATTCGCTGGCATCGTCGGGCACCTGACGATACTGAGTCCATGGCCAAGATGCGATGCCCGACAAAAGAAATGCCTCCAAGGCGCACAAATAGCCAATTATCTATTGTTAAATAAGATATTTAAGTTTTTTGAGATCTTTTTCATTTAATTGAGAAAAAACTTACACCAGTGGCCAGTAGCGTGTCCTTGGAATGCTTGGATACCCATGTGTATTCTGTGGCATAGAGCACCATGTGAACAAGCAGCGTGGAGCTCAATATAAATATCAAACCAATACTCAGGTACATCCACGTATTCTGTTTGAAGAAGTGGAATTGTTTTTTATTAAATCTGGTTTTTAAGTTTGAATCTTGACTTACCACTTTAGTCCAATTGAATGGGAACATGAGAGCTATATGCGATATATCGAGAAAGAGCATGAGACATGTGATGAGTAGCGAAAACAGCGCACAGAAGACCATCAGTCTCAGGCGTCCGATGAGTGGCAGTAGAAAGAGGCCGACCTGTACGGTACCCGCGGAACATTCGCAGGCTAGACAGACGGCCGAGGATAACTGGTAAATAAGGCAAATTTTGTAATATATGATTGATATTTTGAAACCCTTAGCTTTCCCTTGAGCTTACCACCAATAGTATGCGCACAATCCCTGTAGGCGATTTCAAGTGTTGCGGATCACAGTGGAGGGCGACGCCCCAGGGCAGGGGGGTGTGGCCGCCCCTCTGCTTATAGTTGGCATGGGAGTCCCAGGAGGTGCAGGTTCCGAGGGGGGATTCCAAGGACAGGGAGTGCGAGTGCGAGTGGGAGAGCTCGCCGGCCCTGCTGCCAGCTATCTCAAAGTCCTGCTCATCGTCCAGCTGACAGCAGACCGGCTCCAGCTCCAGCTCCCGAATCTCGTCCAGCAGCAGTTCTATCTCGTCCGTGCCATATAGATCAGATACAGACGGTATATAACGTTGGGGTTGTTGCATTGCCCGTGGCGGGATGTGTCCCACATCACCGATGGTTGCCCCTCAACTGTCAAAAACTGCGCGCCCACGTCTTGTTCCTTTTTCTCTCTCTCACTTTGGATACTTTCGTCTCGTCCACTCCTCCCTCGCTGACTCTTTTTCTCTTTTACTTATCTTAGTAGCTGCGGAGATAAACAAAAGGCGTAACGTTTTCTGTTTTAAAGGCTTTTCAAATTTCTAAAATATTCATAGATATAATTTATTATTTTGTATAATTTAATAGAAAAATCGGTATCAACATTTTAATGTATTTTTTGTTTTATAATTTTCTTTTATTTTTAAAGACATCACCATTGAAAGGGAAAATGAAAGCAAATGGACTCTGAAAGCTCGGCTCCATTTTCTATGCTATAGAAATTGATAACTGCCTAGCTCATTAGAGTCTCTCTCTCCCTTTGGCCCCTCCACCGTGACACCACCCCCTTCATTACTCCCTCCTGCGCATAACCATAACGGTAATTTGATATGACTTTGACGTCGCCGCTGCCAGGCTGTCACTCATACGCCATTTGGGCCTCGGGGAAATCCCCCTGGGTGCTGCTAATCTGAATACGCTTTCCCTGCCTGTGGGATGCGACAACATTCTGAGGAAATTTGTTTATGGCAAAATAAAGAAACGAGGAGTTTAAGCGAAGCGGAAGGGTAACCTAATGGTGTGATATGAAAGTAGAAAAAAATGTAAATCGCAATGATGACTGTAACGAATAGGAACGTTTCTACACTTGAAATGAAAGAAACAGTTTAGCATACCAATAGGATGGGACTTGTAAAATGAACGCCGTATTTAAATACCAAAGAAATTTGTTGGTCATTATGCATAATATGGTATCAGCTTAGTGAATGGTTTCCACAGTTTATAATCGAATAAATTTCAGCAGATTTGCTTCTTTAATATTGTTTATTTAATTATCTTATCTGATATAATAATAACTTAATGATTTCATACAATGAAAACCACTTTTTAAAAGTATTTAATACCATAAAAATATATATAATATATATTTATATTAACACACAGCGTTAAGTTGCATTATCATTCATTAAAATCTTCAGAAACTATTTTCGTTCATTCATTAATCACTGAAATTCCCATTAGAGTACCTTGTCTGGTGCTTTCACCCCGCATTGTTTCATTTATTATTTTTAATTGCGTTTGATGCGAGGCCCCGATAGTCTACCTACCAGATGATGTGGCTGCCAACTGGAAATTAAATCGAATTGGTTTTGTGTGCCCTCGGATCTCTTTTGCCCATTTTGCTCCCTGTTTGCCTGATGTTTCCATCACGATTTTCCCCATCGACTCCTTTTATATTTCCCTCTCGCCCCTGCGTATATGCAATGAAATTCTGCTGAGCATTTCTTTATGTCACTCACACCCACACACAGACACAGACTAATACTTTGGCAATTAACACAGACATGAGGAATGTGTAAATGTGAGAGCTACATGAAAGCCCAACTCCGTTGAGAATTTCAACAATTTTCATCTGTCCGGCCGCATTTTCCTTGAGCTGTCATAATCAGGACATAGCTGAAGGTAGCTTATGCTCCTTGTTGTCAGTTGTCCTGCTGCTTTTCCCACTGTTTTGCTTGTTGTTTTAGCAGCAGCACAAGGACTCCGAACAGCAGGACATGAGAAATGCAGCTGGACAGGAAGAGTGGAGGAATGGCGCTCAAAATGGTACACACACACACACACAGATCTGTTTGTGGGTATTTCCCTCTCAGGACAGGCAATGTAACAATTTGTTCTCTCTCTTTCTCGCCAAATATCCTTGCCTCTCTTTCTCCCGCACTCTAGTTTTTGTGAAGTTTTTGTTGGTGCTGCTGTTCGTGCTGTCCTTGCTCTAGTTTTAGCGCCCGAATGTCCTCAGCCTCCGGTCTGGGTTCTCAGCCCCTGCCATGGCCCCCTTGTGACCCCTAAGTCGCCCTCTATCCACGCCCTTATCTCTGTCTATTATCGCTGCACATAATCTCCCGATGCTGCTCGAGTGCCTAATGAGAGTCCTTGTCGGCACATCTCTTACAGCACAGAGGACATGCCCTATCTTATCCAATTTGCCCATCGATTGCCAGACATTAAACTCTTCACCTCTTTTCAAGTTTTTGTCACCCTTTCCTACGCTTCATTTCACACACAGGAAAGAAATTGTATTTTTGTTTTCAATTATATAATTTAATTTATTCAATTAACCTACCGCTCCTCTATCACTTCTGTTTTCACTCAGCTTAACATACATAATCATATGCAAAAAAAACAATTAAGGATTTATTTAACACATGCTCGATAAAATTTAATTATTTTATTTATTAAGTGAAATAGAAAAATAATCAGTTCGCAATTAATAACACTACTATTTATGAGATATCAGTTAATTGATTCCGCTACTTAATTTATTAGCTTTTCGTTAAAAGTATTTAAAGGTTACTTGTAAATTTATTTAAAACTGTTTCAAAAAGTTTAGAGGTAAAAACTTCAGTTCATGACTAACTCTTTCTCAAAAATTTATAGACTTAAGTTGCATTTATGTGAATAAAGCTTCTAAGACTGCTTATTTACAGTTTACCATAAATTAGACTTTTTGCCAGTGCTCAATTTGAAATCAATTATGCTGATCTGCATGTAAACTGACTTGGCTTCCTGTTGGGCTCCGACTTTCGCCTTCCCTTCGAGCCAACCGTCTGCAGGAAGTGCAAGTGCTGTGTATGCAAATTTATTGTCAATGAAGGGGATTGGAATTGGCGTTTAGACTTGGAGGGAGCCCTATGTGAAGTAGGGGGCCATGTGAAAGGGAAAGAGTTGGGCCGCAAGGGTTGGACACTCGATGTGGGCTCGACTGCATTTCTTATTTATGAACGTGCATAGACAATGCTTTCGGGTTCT